ACTTGGCAACACCTCGGCGTCTACAAGTACGCAGACATGGTTTGTTCAGAATGAACATTGGAATGAGGAAGAAATGTGATCTAAGTGACTTTTACTGAGGAATGACTGTTGGTGCCAGACAGACGGGATGCGTTTTGAGTGTCTCAGAAACTGCTGATCTCATGGGCTTTTCACTGACAACAGTCAATAGAGCTTACGGAGAATGATCTGAAAAAAACACAAAACATCCAATGAGAAGTAGTTTTGTAGGAGAAAAGGCTTGGTTAATGAGAAAGGTCAGAAATGAAAGGCCAGACTGGTTGAAGGTGAAAGGAAGATTACAGTAACTCAAATAATCACATGTTACAATAATGGTATGCAGAAGTGCGTCTCTGAACGCACAACACGTCGAACCTTGAAGTGGATGGGCTACAGCAGAAGAAGACCACACCGGGTTCCACTCCTGTTAGCTAAGAACAGAAAACTGAGGCAACAGTGAACACAGGCTCACCAATACATGTACTAGACAACTGAAGACTGGGAAAACGTAGCCTGATCTGTCAAATCGCGATTTCTGCTGCAACATGCAAATGGTGGGTTCGGAATTTGCCATAAATCTTTGGGATGTGATGGAACAGGAGATTCGCAGCATGAATGTGCAGCCAACAAATCTGCAGCAACAGCGTGATGCTATCATGTCAACATAGTAATGTCTAGTAAATGTTTTCAGCACCTTGATGAATCCACCCCTCCAAGAATTCAGGCTCTTCTAGACACAAAGGGAAGCATTACCCAGTACTAGAAGGGTGTACCTAATAAAGTGGCCACTAAGTGTATATGTGTTGATACGAACATAAGTAAGGCGTGTCGACCAGTGGTCTCCCGCGGATCTCATCTATTCTTGTATTCTTACGGGAAATAAACTCTCTTAAAAAGCTATTTCTATATAGTGCAAATTTTTTTAATGGAAAAAAAATGCATCCAAAAGGTCTTTCCACGCGCTATTGAGTTTTACATGAACTTTTTAAATTGCATTTTCAAAAAAAAAATCGCTCTATTTACTGGTGGTATTAAGGGTCAGTGTTGTAGTTGTATACTTTAATGAGGGTTCTCAGGTACGGTCAGCTGTTTGTGTCAAGCACTGTCATTCTTCCTCGAGTATTTCCTGGTAGTAAATTCTTTAATGATACAAGAAGCTTATAGGAAGACCTTCTTAAATATTGTTGTGTTACTGTGAGTGGGACTCCGTCAGCTCGCCTTTTGTTGAGTTTTCTGTAAAGCTTCAATTTACAGATGTTGTGCCGTCAAATATACATGGTATGTATACCTAGAGAACCGTCGGTATGTATACCTAGAGAACCGTCGGTATGTATACCTAGAGAACCGTCGGTATGTATACCTAGAGAACCGTCTCTATGTGTACACATTGAGAGGTCTGTATATTAAGGTGTAAACACTGAGAGGTGTGTATGTGTCTCAGTATGTATACACTTCACCGTGTGTGTAACAGGGTATACATCAAGAAATATGTGTCACAGTCATGTTGTATAAACAACAGCAGAATGTATGTTAGTAAGATACAAAAGTATCATTAAGTCTTTTATTAAGGCGACCTTTAGCCCAGGAATTTTTTTCATTGTAATTCAGAGAAATGAAGCAGAATTATATAGAGCATAGCAGGAACAAGGTCAGGAACTGCCAGTGGGAGCAGTGGTACTTAATAGCTTTTCCAGGTCTGGAAAGGATAAATCAGGCGAGAACATCTGTAATCGTAAAACTGCCAGAATTTTGTGTAATAGTATTGGCAGTAACAATAAGAGGAAATTCAAAACAGCGCCTGTGGTGCTGGTCACTTTCTCTTATAAGTAATTTGGCGTCTTTGAAGTTCATGGGATGGTAGTGGGAGGTCGAGTGTACAATGCAGGCGTTGTATAAATGATCCTCAGCATGCGAACTGGTGATCCCTCTTGTGTAGTTACAGAGTTGCAGAAGTCTTCACTATGTTTAGTTCGTTGTGTCCTCCACAATGTATGGTGCAGACGTCAGCGCTTGATGGTGTGTGTTTCTCAGAATCACTGAACTCTTGATGAAGCTCGAGGTGATGTTGTCAAGAAGACTAGAGAGGTTTGCAACCTGGCTGACAGGAAGTGTTAAGTCTGGTGTCTGTATTTGTCTGGCAGAGTGCATGATTCTCTCGTCTTGTCTCCTGCAGTCACAATACTCCACCGAGGATGTGTAATTTTATTCTCCCCTCCTCCAGGTATTCTTCCTTCCAGGTACTCCACGTACAGGTTAGCCAGGACCACACTCAAGGGGGTAGACCCCCTGCCAGTCTAAGGGAGTCCCTGTAAACAGACTCGCCCAAACAAGAAGTAATTAAAGCCAATTCGAGAATGTCAACGAAATCTTAAGTTGGAAGTGGAAGCCAGACGGTCAGTGTGTATACACAGTGTGTATACACGAAGGGTTTATGCATGGAGTGTGTATACACGCAGTGTGTATACACGCAGTGTGTATACACACTGTGTGTATACACGGAGAAGCGTGTTCATATAGTGTCTACGTAGAGAAGTGTATCTCTCAGCATTTGCGCCGAGAGATGTCTCTCTCTCAGTGTTTCCGAGCTGAGAGATGTCTCTCTCAGTG